AGGGCAAATACACTGAATTTAAGATGTTTTTTGCAGTGTGGGGTTATTCCGGTATAATCCTGTCATATAAAATATAATTATGATGTCACCTGATTAAACACTAAAAATGCTCATTACCACAATATATGTAGCTACAGTTTTCCTGTTACTTTTCGTGAGAAACTTTCATAAATCCAAACTGAGTAGTAGAAAAAGCACACCTGAGCCTGGAAGTCTATGCTTATAAATCACAACCATAGATCAGAAAAAACAGCTTCTACCAACTCTTCTTGTAACAACTGTCCTAAAATATAAACTTATGGTCATCAGTTAGTTCTAAAACATCTTTAGAAGAACTCTTGTTGGCCCCTGAAGAACCTCTGTACCAGATTAGTGCCTTACAAGGAGTTTTTAATCGTTCTTTCGCATTTTATCCGAGTTTCTTTTACTTATGCCAGTTGTAACCTATGGTCTAGCTTAATTTTTGTTGAGTAGTTTGCTTTATGTTACATTTTGGGTCCTTGTTTTTAGTAAGGCAAAACCAACTGGAGCCATATTTTATTTTATTTTAGGACTAACACACTCACCACAACACAACGCAGCTCCCCATCAGCTGCGACCGGTTGTGATAATCAAATTTCCGCTTCTTCTGTAACAGCGGTTTCTGCATGCAACATGCTCATGCACTTGTTCTACCTTATTAACAGTCTATACAGAACATTTCACCCATCATTGATCAAACAGTCAAATCAGGGACATTTCTTGGGACAGCTTTAGCCCGGGTCAGGTGGTCCAAAACGGGGACTGTCCGCGGAAATCTGGGACGTCTGGTCACCGAAATTTACAGAGAGGTACTATGTAGCATTCTACATGCTAACATAAAAAATGCTACTAAGAAAAAGTTGAGCATTTAACTTGTTACCACTACCAACTAACTGATTAGAATTAGAATTTTGTTTCAAATTGTAAGTTTAGTCATACAAATTAGTTGCTGAAAAATCCTGCATGACTACTCTTTGCATCTAAGCTAGTAATTTTAGCATTTCATATTACCGTTTTAGCAACCATATAAGACACAATCACAATTTTTGATGATTAGTCATCTTAAATCGGAGATTTGTTGTGGCTGGTTAAAAAGTCAAGTGGTGACTTGAACACATGGAAAAAATGGAGCCATGGCGGAAATTCAACTGAAGAAACTCATTGCTTTCCTTCATTCACCTGCGACACAGCCAATCAGCTTTGAACCACACCTCCACGAAAGCCAATCGGCATCCAAAGTTCATCTTAAAAGGCCTCCGATACGTTCATTTGCTCCTGTGCGCAGGTGGTGGATGCGCTGTGACTTCATTCAGATGACACAGTTTCAACCCACCTCCAGCCCCTCCTCCACCATCGTAGCTAAAGCTTCATCAGAGTTTCATTACTCCCAGACTCTTACTGTATTCCGCGTCTCATTTCAACCAGTTGAGCCTGGTTCTGCCAGAGGTTTTCCTCTCCACTGTCGCTTCATGCTTGCTAATCATGGACAGGTTCTCTCAACCTGTATTTTCCAACTGGACTTCCATCTTCCAGGTCCCTGAGTGAAGCTAGTATCAGCTCATGCAGTCCACCGGATCTCCCTATAAAGTTCAGCAGACCGTCTCGCTAACCAGAAGTCTACAGACTAACCAACTTGATCTATCTCCACTCCACCCTCCACCCCCAGTTTCTGGCCTGTGGTAGAAACAGCCCTATTCTATGCTCCTGTTAATGCATATCTATCAAAATTAAGCACTGTTGTCCCTGCCGAGGTCTGAGCGCCAAACACAAAGTAATTGTATCAACATAAATTTCTCATAATTGTCTTTTCTCGTGATGTGAGTTTTTCAGATTGAAATCACGTTATCCAATGTGGATTAGAATGTTTGCTTTTGGACCAGTTTTGAATGATTTACAACTTTTGGAAAGTTTTATCTGATCTAAAGAATAGCTGGGAAAATAAATGAAAAAAACTATTGTTTTCATGCCAGCTTTCAGGCAAAGGTGTTAAGAACCCATGTTATTCCACTATTTGTATATAAGTAGAAACCTTACAACTACATTTTATCGATAGGTAAGTCTTTAAACAAATATGAGTTTTCCAAATCATTGATCACAACAAAATATACTGCCTTATTATATCAAGCGAAAACATAGGAAAAAGACATGCAACAGCATGTTATGATTTGAAGTAGCTCTGACTGATTTACAGCCTTATCAGATCTAAGAAAGAGCTAGAAAAACAGATCAATCTGAAGAGACAAAAGGATTATTGTCATCCTAACCCGTGAACACAAAATAATGTCAACGTTACGTCAGTGGAATGATATTGTTGACATCATTTTGGCAATCCTACTTGATACATTCATGAACATTCATCGGTTACGAGTTGTCACTCTATGCGATCCTTCCCTGAAGCATGATCTCTACCATATGTTTATTCAAACAAGGACAGTGGAAACAACACGTTAAACAAGACAAAGTCAGGAAAAATGTGTGGTCCCAGGTGTATGCTAATTTCCACCATCATCGGCTCATTTGTGCATTTGCAACCAGAAAAACATACAGATTGCCACTTAATGTGATTCAGGAAATGGTACCAAAAATAATTATTTATATC